CACCGTGCACTGCTTTGCTCCAGAGTGGGTTTATCTCTGTCCTCAGCAGCACAGGGCACTTACCTGAGACAGACATTATCTTCTCATTTGAGTGCAGCCTGTTCACATTACGGAATGCATGTTCTCCATAGCACATATCCTGGTGGGGGGTCTCCTATAGGCTTTCAGAGCTTGTTTGCTCAGTTTGATGAGCTGCTAATTCTGTTTGATCTGGAGAGCAGTCACAGCAATAAGATACAGTGTCCGCAGCACCAAGTCAAGACAGAGGACACCCAACAGAAGCTTTTGAAGGAAGTGAACGATTTTAGCTGGCTGCCAGTGTCCAGTCCCATGACAAGAACTGCTCCACATAGTGATCTGACTTTAGGCACAAAGAGCCTTTTAAAGAGGCTTTGTTGAAGTGTAAAATCCTCAGAACAGCTTGGTAGAGATCAGTAGAAAGTGATCTGAGTTAGGATCAGCTCCAACTCAATTCTCTGAGCACCACTGAGTCTTAAATGCAGATAATACAGAAAATAAGCTGGGAAGAAGTTATTTAGAGACCTCTATAGGTTTCCCAACACTAGGACCACCACAGCTGTTGGGAAAAAATGATGTGAATAAAATACCAGTAATCCTGAAATAGGCAGTGTCTAGGCAGACATTAGACAACTGGATGTGTAGGAAATATTCCTGAGCCACACCAACCTTGGGAACGGACCAGCAGATTTTCCTGGTTAATGAAGACCTATACAAAGCAACCTATACAAAGAACCTATACAAAATCCCTATACACAAACTTCTGGTCTCTGTCTATAATGCATATTTTGAAGATGACGTTTGTATAAAGATGTAGTATTATTCACTCACACTATGAGCAGTGCTATCAGCATCACATAAAATATTTCATATAATGCAAATTTTTTAATCAGAAATTACTAACTTTTTTTGATGCTCAGTCATACATGTGAAATCTGACCTTGATCTTCTGTTTACAGAACAAACCCATGACATTTAATTTGCAAAAAGAACAGTACGGATCCATAGAAGTCATTGGCCTGAACTAGCCAAGCATTTAGTATTCTAGTGGAATCCTGTAAGGAGGATTATGATACTAGCACATACCTATTAAAAGGATAATTATGCTGAAGAAATTAAACAACCTACACATGATGCCTCAAGCTGTTGCAGTTTTCTTGCAGTATCCTTTAAAAGGCCATTGGCTGTGTCCACTTTTTTTCAGGTGCAGGGAAATACCTTCCTTTGAGATTGTGCCAATCTAAACTACAGAGTTAGTCATAGACCATAATGGCTTAAAATTTAGAACAACTTCAAGATGAGAGCACTGAGCTCATGTTCAGGCTGGAACTGTGACCCTGGTTGTTTCAATTCCAAGGACAACCTACTCAGCCAGAATCAGTTCTTACATAATGCTGTAAAACATTTCTAAAAGTGTCCCTCTTAATCTTTTAGCAAGAAGTGCTTCTTATCCCAGCATTATGGGGCATAACTGGGCAGCACAGGAGAGCTGTGCCAGCTGACAATGTTTAATGAGGGCAGAGCTCTAACTTTTCATCAAGAAAAAACTTTTCAATAACAAGTCCTCTTCTGCTGCAGCTGGCAAGCTGAGACTGAAACTTGCTTCCCCAGCTCTCCTTCTGCAGCAGTCTGCATGTAACATTACAGAGAAAATAAAAACTAGAGCAACTTCAAAGAGGTTGTTTTTTTTTTTAAAAAAAAAAAAAAAATGAAGTCACCAACAATTGTAGCTGTTTTAATCATCAGGAACCAATACCAACAAAGGCTTTATTCTTGCTGGAGATATGCAATAAGGAAACATAGCACTAAGATTTTCAAGGTGTCCCTTTTCCTCTAAAGATTAGACTCAAAATGTCAGTTTAAACCAAACAACACACCCTGCCCCCCTCCACACCACAAAACCCAAATGTTCTGAGACAGAAACAAAAGCCAGAAGCCAGAAGTCCCTGGAGCCTGTGTGTTGTTTCTGAAGGTGGGTCAGCTGGACATTGCCTTAGTTCTGTTTCCAGTGAACTGTTATTTTTAGCTTTGTGTGTACTATTTGCTGAAAAGAACATGAAGCTGCAGTGATATCTCATTATCTAAGTCTCCTATAGCCCCTCAAACCCTGACAGAAAAAAATGAATAGGTTGACTTCTGTTCTATACTGTCATTTTGAGTTACAAACTATTATGTTTTATACATAATTACATTATTAATACATAGCAAAAAAAGAAATTCTTTACATGTTCTGCTTATATCTAATAGTTTTCCACTTGACTCAAGGACCAGTCCTTAAGTAACATCTGCTTGTTCATAGGAATACAACTTCAAAACCCAGAGAGAGCAAGGGCCCAAACCCATCATTACAGCTAAGCGCAGTTTGTAATGCTGTGGGTAGTTCTATTACACCACTGGTGAGGTTTGGCACAACTGAGCCTTCCAAGACAGAGGCAGACAATGAATCAAAGTAGATTCTCTCTAACAAGCTTAAAATTCTACAAGCAAAAAGCAAATCATTGGCCATGGAGTGCAGCTCCTGCAGCCCCACAGAACACAGCCCATGCTCAGGCTCAGCACACTGCACACCTTTTCCTCAGCCTTTGCTCCAAGAGCAGAGCAGTGCAAACACACTTACCTGGCTGTCCTGGGCTACAGAGGTCCTGGCACAGCCTGGATCCCCTTTATACAGCAGGCCTTCCACTGCTCCCTGTTCCCAATGTTCAAGTAAAGGAGAACTGTTTATGCTACTGCACTGATAAAAATCACCTCAGAGGGGCCCAGAGCTGCCCTCATAGCTCATAAATTATATAGTTTTACTCTGCTTGGCACAGGCTTGAACCCTGTTATAATTTAGGTTAAAAGACAACACAAAGTTTCTGCCTTTTCAGAGCCCTTCGGCAGTTTTGCTGCAAACCACAGGGTCTGGTCAGGCCTCTACAGGTGTTCTTAATTAGGAGGGAATCCACGTAAGGTACAAGCCTTAAAGATATATGGCTTTTAAACACAAGCCTTCAAAACTCAGCCGTATCATACCGTCATCTTCACTGAGTTATGCTTACAAAGAGCACAGATAAAATAGTGTTTAATCAGAACTGCTGCTTCCCTTTGCAAGCAAAAGATAATGAAATAGCTATCCTGCAGTATGAAAGCATTGAGTTATCTCATCCTAATGTGAGTGCGTGGTTGATTCACCTTCCTGTCTTTGACTTGCTTTAACACTTGGATTTAAAAAGTACTTCTGTCCTTAGAGGTAAGAGTCATGTATAAAAAAAACAGCATGGAGACTTCTTGCAGAATGTGATTATTTTTGGGAACAAATCACCTGGTCTCTTGTTCACATTTTCAAGGGAAGACTGAATGACTTTAGAAAGCAAAGACTTCAGAGAGACAGGGTGAAACCGTGCATGGAAATAAATATGCAGCTGTGGCCTGGATGGTCATTAATGATGCACACAGCCTGTGAGGATGTATGGGAGAAACATTCTTCATTTTTAAAGAATCAGAGGAAAAAAAAGGCACAGGCAGTTATGCCACACAATGCCATGAAATATATTGGACCCTTTCTTAATGCTGGATAAAATGAGATGAGAGGCTTACAAAAGCATTGTCACTGTCATACCCCAAAGGTTTCTCCAAAACAAGAGCCCTGGTTTTCCAAGCACCAAATTTCCAGAGCAATCTGTCAAGGAATCTATTATATAATAGACCAGAGAAGGTCTGGGACCAATAGACATTTGTCTTTCCAAAGGTCATAAAGTGCTGTCAGTGGAGCATTTTCTTGCTCCCTGAATTATGAACAGCAGACCTGCTCTGTGGCTGAGTTGGTTGGATCTTAATTTTTGTTAGTTGAGGGAGTAAGGATCATTTGTGGCCTCTGGAAATTCCCTACCAGGTTCTCTGTGCTCCTGGGGGTTCCTGCTGCAAACCACTCTCAAGATGTTGTAATATTTCAGGACTCTTCAGGTCACCAACTCCAGAAGAATTTCAGGAAGATGTCAAGATTGAAGGGGCCAGGCCAGGATTCTACCTGTGCAAAAGCAACATAAGCCAGTTGGTTATAAAAGGCTCTAGGCCTGTGCTACTGTATTTTGAGTGGTATCTCTGAAAGTTCAGGGATAAAATAAGGCCTCTGTCTTTCCTAAATATTGAACTGTGCCATCTAAATAAAATTTTGAGAGTCACAACTGAACCATGTCCTATACCTATCCCCAGTCTCTGTTAATGTTTATAGAAAGCCTAAGAACATTAACTTTTACCTCTGGGCTTCCTAAAGTATATGAATAACTTTATAGAATCAACAACTGAACTGTAAGGAAGTTTGGACCACATGATAAGTTCCCAAAATAAAGTTTTGCAATTTCTGTAGTGGATTCAGCAGACCTAAACGTGAAATGCATTCATAGGCAAAGTCTTCCCAGAGAGAATCTCTAGGTCAGATTTTGATTGAATTTATCTTAGCTAATTTACACATCAATTTAAGAAGGGTGGTTTTAATGTCTCTGTACTCCCACACATCCATGGCTATTTTCAGAACTACCCAGGATGCATTTTCATTGATTACAGTGCCCAAAGAGGAGCCTGCCTTGATACTAATGCAGAGAAGCTGTTTTTCACGACCTTAACTACACATTGGTACAACAGCAGCCTGAACTGCAGCTGCCCTGCGGCAAATGCAGGAAGGGATGTTTTGATTTCCTGATTCTGGCCAGTGGATGTTATAAAACAGAATATATGGGCTTTACAATGAGCAGTGTGCCCCTCAAACTGTGCTGAAACAAGTAGGTTTCAGCAACAGATACTCAGGCTTGCCTACAGGATGCATTTGGCCATGATTATAGAGGAACTGTGTGGGTTCAGGGAACATGAAAATGAATCAGTGCACATCCCCCTGGTGTCCCATAATATCAATACTGTAATATAATAATATTTTTATTCAGTAGGTGTTGTTTCTGAGGGCTTCTAAATGCTTGCTGAACCTTCTTCCCCATCTTTTATTGCAGAAACACTCAGCATTCCCAGCCTCCAGTTTAACAGAACCTGATTATCTCCATTGAATTCAGAAGTCCCCTGGATTGATTTGCTGACTTAATGTTGGCCAGTGTCACCAGCTGAATTATGAACCTTCATTTGGTGGTGGAACTGCTTACCAGTGCCTCTTCTTGAAGTGTATTTTTAGTTCTGGATGTCTAGAAAGTCCTCAGCATCACCTCAGGAATGTGCCAAATCGACGTTAATTTCCAAAAAGTTCTGATATGAGAAGCAATTATGTCAAGTAAAATTCTTGGCTGAGAGAAACTGATGTTATCATTTAAAAAAAAGATCTGGCAAAGCCACGGTGGTAATGATATGAAAAGTAAATAAGTGCAGGAGATAATACAAAGATGCTGAGTTGGACAGGAAATTATTTCTAATATGAAGTCTTCCTTTTATAATACTCATTCCACCAAAATGAATCAGTGCACATCCCCCTGATTTAAATGCATTTAAATTGCTGTTTAGGTACCCTTATTCATTGCTGTTTACAGAATATTAGTTTAAATGCAGAGTTCATTTAATTCTGGATAGATCAGTAATTGTGGTAATGAACAAGGTGTAGCCTCAACCATATGCTTTAAGAGAAATAAATGCTCATTTACAAAATAAAAATACTTTCTTTTTGTGATTTCATAGAGGTAAAAAAAAATAAAGACCCTTTTCTGGCTCAAGTGAAAAGTTAGGTTCCATGAAAGCTTAAAGTCATGACAATTCCTTGTGCACTACAAAACCTGTGACTGCTACAAAACAAGATGCACACACTTAAATTCTCAGCAATAAAAGTTTCAGATAAAAAAAATTAATTATTATTTGATTAACTGGTAAAATGTGGTGGTATAAATAATTCAGATAATTTCCTTTTCCCACTGATGAAAATTCTTGATAAAGTTACTTTAGTACCAATTGTCTATAAATAGGTTTGATTAGGGCCTCCATATTTTCAGTCAGTGGTTCTACTTTGAATTGCTGTACAATTAATAAACATGATTTTAAACTTGTAGTGATATGTTACATATATAAACAATTGTTTAATTCACAAAATAAATGATGAAGGTGTCATAGTTCAGCTTTGTAAAGTGGTTAACTTGCTCTTCTTGCCTTCACAAATGGAGGAATGGCTGCTTGATTTATTTTTTTTTTAATAAATATCTTCAGCATATTTTGTAATATAACCCAGAGTTAAAGAATTCTTCTTTAAATCTGCTAGCGTATAATATCATGCAATCCAATTACATCCATTCTCAAAGGGCTCGATTCAAAGCTTTGAAACTAATGCCAATCAGTTTCTTCATTATTTCTTAATAAATCACAGTGTGATCAGTGAGTTCTGTGAGACACTTCTGTGTCTCCTGCATCCTCTGTAGAGAGTGCACTGGAAGCCAGGTCAATGTCTAATTTGGGGCATGGCATGAAAAATTAATGCAGACAAGAAAACCACAGAAATTAAACTCAACTGTTGTATGAAAAAGGTGGGGGTGTATTTAGGAGTGTAGTTTTGTAAAAGAACTTCCATTTAGGGGCAGCGGTGCCAGCATGCTCACTGACTAACTTGAACCATGGCAGAGAATCTGACAGCTCTACCTGGTGATGGGGAATGAGAGAAAGGCCTCCCAAAATTGTTCCTCAGATCTCTCACTGAGGAAGTGGTATGTTTATTTCTGCAAGAGTATGCTATATTTACAATTGTAATACCCTTTCAGTTTTGTAAAAGAGAAAAAAATCATTCAAATTAGGGCTGTATTCAGTAAGGCTGGAGATCTCTTTTCTGGTTTAATGACAAACTTTAAAGGTGCACAAGTAAACCAGCAAATTATTTATTACCTGTGCCATTCTCTCAGCTATAAAATAAATTTAGTAGTGCAGGCAGAGCAGCAAAATGCCACATTACTGGTATCTATTTTATGGTGATGGTGAAAAGAAACAGCAAACAAAATGAACTGTGATATGCAAGTAAAGACTGCAAGAACGTCACTGGTGATACTACAGTGGGAAAGGACAAGCAATTGGAGAAAAGAATATGAAGGAAGAGAACTATGAAGCAAAAAGGAACAAGAAGCAGATGGGAAAGAGCCTGGTACTTTGATATAGATAGTAATTTAGAGTAAGAGTAAGCATGAAGTCTTATTAAATACACAGCTATAATGCAAAAGAATACTCTCACAAAACTTGTTTTGTCCAGATGCCTGTACTCCTGAGTCCTGTAAAATGTAGTTAAGTTATATCTCCATTTTAAGGTCAGAAGAGCTCTTGTAGTCTGTCTTCCATATACAGTATGCATCTCATCCAGCGTTCACTCTGTGGAGCACAGTGCAAAAGGAAAATACCAGTGCAAAAGGAAATACCTGGCATTTTTTAAGAATCTACATTTCTCCCATATTCTCTGCACCTTCTTGGAATATCCAAAGCTTCAATTTATTGAAGGCACTAAGTATAGGTTCTTCTTTCATGTGGGCAGAGATCAGTCAACATGTCCTTAGAAGAGTTGCCAAGAGCTAAACTAAGACTGACTTGCTACAGTTTTCGGTTTAGGCTCACAACCTTTGTAGTAGCTGTTATTCTCCTCATTTAACACAAGCATTCAGTGATAACCTGTGAATCCAATTACAATGTCTTACTCAGAGGTTTTTGGTTTTCTTAATTTCTTTATAACCAACAAAAATGTTCCCTTAAAAATGTAAAATACCTTTTAATTTATGAATTCATTTGAAGAGATGCCATCATTCCACTTACTACCCTTGCGTTAAATTAGTACTATTCAATACAGAGACTTCACCAATGAGCCTTAAGGACTTTGTTCCTTCCCTGAACATATTAGGACTTCCTACCTTCCTTTCTATCCTAAATAGAAAAGTGAAATCATTGCCAGTGTTTAGGCTCTAGGCAGTTTTTGGCCTCAAGTTTTGTTCTCACAGTTTCTTCTCCCCCCAGTGCAGAGGCAGTGATTATGCCTGTGCTGATCTGACGTGTTGGTGCCTGTGTGTGCAGGAACCTCTCCTTGCCAGGGAGGCTCTGCCTGGGCACCCAGCACAGGAGTGTTGATCACACTGAGCTGAGACTGAACCCAGTATCACAGGGTGGTGTTCCTCCTCCTGCATAATCACCTGGAACAAAGGTGCTCCCATCATCCATGGATTTTTATCATTATTTAACCCCCAGGCTTCCTAAAGTTGGAAGAAGGGAATTCATGAGAGGGTGACAGCGCTGTGTCCTCAGTTTACTTTGAGACATAGAACTAGGTTTTGAGGTTTGAAAATGAGCCTTCTTCTCCCAAGTTTACTTCCTGTTGCTCTTATTCCTTTTGCTACTTCAGCTGCAGAAGTCAGAGTAGTTTACTTCCTATTGTCTTCTTGGAATTACGATATTGCCCCCCAAAAACTAATTTATATTTCTTAAAATTATAGAAGCCAATGGGTTGTTTGTCACCAGGCATTCAACTTTTGACACATTTGCATTTATACCAGATTCTGGTATTCTGTCTTAAAATACCATACTTCAATTGGAGTTAAGAGTAGTTTATTTATTGAATATTACTCCAGCTTGGTGGATCATAATAAAGGGAAAAACAATCATCTGCATTCAGAAATACAAATATATAACTCTTCTGCTTATGTTACAATGAGGATGGTGAAGAACACTAAGGACTGAAAGGATCAAATAGGAGGCTACAAAACCCAGGAACTTACTAGATTTTTGTTTATAAAATCTTACAAGCTAAGAGGGGGTCCAAATGCTTCACTGACTTCCAGGGACATGCATTAAGTGTTAAGCAGATATTCCATTCAGAGCACTTTCTTGTGTAAAAAGGATTCTTTTGTTTGTGAAATTTTTCAGCTATTAGGTGAATCTATAATATGCCCTTCTCTAGTGCCTGAAACTGTTGTTGGAACTTGCATTCATTCTCATATTCAAAATGATGTAATGAGAAAACAGCTAATGTGCTTAGGTTTTTTTTAAGGAACTAACATGAAAAGTCTTGGAACACAAATTTTGGTAATTAACATGTTTGCTGACAAAAGCTATTTGTGTGCTGATGGCAAGCTGCTTCCGTACTGTATTTTATGTGCAGATGAAACTGCATGTAGGTACCTTCAGAGCTGAAACGTGCCTGATACCAAGCACCTTTCCTATCTTTTGGTAAAGTGCCTGAAGGGCAGGATTGAGAGAAATTGCTTGGGTATGGATAACGACCTTCAAGGGTAAATCTCAACTACAAGGATAATTTATACCCTCTTTTAAGAGACTGTGTTGTGAGTCATTTCTATTGCAGGGTAATGTGATGGAGCACAATGCTGCTGCTGAAGCTGAGATATCCCTTAGGTGTCTATTGAATCCATTAGGCTCTGAAAATTGCAGCTCACTGATTATTGACTTACTCTGCAACAGTTTAGTTTGTGTGTGGAGCTTTCACTATCAAAAAGCTCTGGCGATTCCACATTAGAAAGTAATTTTCCATATGGCTTACTGGGAATTTAGGCACATAAACAGATACTCAGCAGTGATAATTAATGTAGTTTATTGAACAGGTTTCAGATTAGGGACATAATTTTCAGAGCTTTGTCACTTTCTGTCTGAATATAGTGTTTATGTGCCTGGGGATTTGACTTTTCCTCTTGTGTTTTATTTTCCTTTGTTCTCCATTTTGATGATAAAAGGTAAATGCAAAGGTAGGATTGTGCTGATGCTGTGGAAACATACTTCATTGCAGTTTATAGACAGAAACCTCTGCAAGAAATAATGTTTATGTGATCATCTCATCTTGCCGCAGATGTTTTAGATTAAGCTTCTTCCTACACAGTCTGCACAAAAAACATGAGCAGATACTATAACATGCTGCCTAGAAAATTGATATGGAATAGAAGCTGATGTGAAATTACAATGAGCAATTTAAGTGCCGACGTGGCGATATCCAGTTGTTCGCACTTAAATGTTTATGAGCAGAGGAGGAACTGGAAACAAGGATCTGCTCCATAACCAGGTCTGCTGGGTGTCCTAAGTGGATATAAATATAAATAGCAACATATGGGGTATGGATTCATTTGTACTCTAAACAGTTTTGAAACATCTTTCTTTTGATAGAAGGAAAACAACCAAGCACAGCAAGCTTGTGATACTGTGCAAATCTGTCACAGGCAAGGAAACACAGCCCTGGCCTCATCTGTTCTGAGCCTCCTCCAAAAGGAGAGGGAGAGGGCCTGCTTGGGAATTGCAGCCGTGCACATCCTGTCCAACATCCTCAGGGAAGCACAGGCCAGTAGGGGATCATCAGGCATCATCAGGGAGCTGGGAGCCTGTGCTCCACAGGGTGCTGGAGCTGCCCATTAGGACAGAATCCCTGGGCACTGAGTGCCTCCTGAGCTGGCACCCAGCTGAGCAGCAGCACTGTCCCTGCTGTGACCTCTGGGGAACAAACCGTCACGTCACATCTGGGGGTTTTGTCCTGAATTTGGCCTTCAAGAATTATTTGGGTTTGGAAACTTGTGTGTTTCTCCCATATAGGTTTCCTCTCTCCTTTTCTGCTCTGCTTTTCTTTAATTTTGGTGTTTGTTTTCTTTTGTTTTCCACACTTTTAGGTAAAATTTGACACTTGAAGTTCATCTTTTTTAGTAATTGGGAATGTTTCTCTGGTTAATGAAGATCATGGCTAAGGTTCCAGGGTTAGATATTGTTAAAAGCTGCTCTGCCAAGTTCCTCATAAATAATTCCTAGCAGATTTTTCTTCTAGTGTTTGTCATGCTAACATAATTTCAATTCAGAAAGACAAATGTTATTAGGACTCAATGAAGCAAATGCAGGAAGGAATCATTTAACATAATACTGATAAAACTGGCAATAGATTACAGGAAATTTCTTGTCAGAGCTATGCAAACGTTATAAGTTTCTGCATTTATGACATTTTCTTTTAAATCTGAAGGTTTGATGAGTTAATTTTATGGGTGGACAGATTTTTGTTGTGTTTTTTTTTTTTTTTTCTAACTTAGGGTAAGAAAGGGTAACCTTTCTAACTAAGGTTCCTCAAAAGAGAAATGCTCTTTTTTGTATAAATTTTGCAGCCTGATTATGGACTAGCAGTATTTTTATATATAATTCATAATAGCAGAGAGAGAATTTTGAAGAGATTTGAACACTTAATATACCACTGTTACTTCATTATAATGTGGTAATTTGTAAAGCT